TGCATTGTTTCTGAAGAGAAGTCTGCTGTAATTCTTATTATTGCTCCTCTATAGGTAAGGTGTCCCATCCCCACCTCCTACCCCCACTTCTTTCAAGATTTTCTCTTTGTCTTTGTTTTTCTTCAGTTTGAATAAGAAATACCTCAGTGTAGTTTTTTGTTATTTATCCTGCTTGGTGTTCTCTGAGCTTCTTGGATCTATGGTTTTGTGTCTATCATCAATTTTGGAAAATTCTCTGCCATTATTATGTCAAACTTTTCCTCTGCTCCTTTCGCTCTTTTTTTTTTTTTTTTATATTCCCATTGTGCGTATGTTGTACCTTTTGTAGTTGTCCCACAGATCAACATAATATTCCAACATTTTGAAATGCCAAGAAATACACTTTTTCAAGAATAAAGTTAAACTGAAAGATGGATTTAGGAACCTTGGAAGTAGAACCTACTGGTTCTACTTTGTTTGTTCATCCATTTATTCATTCATTCAACATATTTTTGTATTGAATGCCTACTTTGTGTCAGTTCTAACAGCTTTTATTTCATGACATGGCTTTGTATGTATTATGGCCCTTGAGCATTTCTCAGCTGTGACAACTTCATCTCTTTGGTGATGGACTAGGAATTAATAGCTCAATGTTTTGTTGTTCATTTTGAGGATTTAACAGCAACCAGTTGGAGTAAAAGTCTATGATGACATGTTTTTCTATGGAAAAAATAAATATAGAATTGGTGATATTATTTACTATTACTGCATTTTGCTTTTGAAGCAGAAGCAGCTGTGTGTGTGGTCATGAAAATCCATCAAAAACTAAAAAGTATAAATGACTACACAACCTTTGCAGGTTAAATACAGTTTTTTCAATGATAAAACATCCAATGAAGGGGAAATATGTTTGTGTATTTTAATGATTTACGATTAAAAGTACAGTGATTTATGATTAAAAGAAGAAAATGAACACCATCATAGATGGCTTAATTTTACCCCTTGAACATGTTTTTTTTGCCATATGGAGTCATGCATGAACAGCAGCCCATTCTTCAGTCTGTACATACCAAAAGAGAAATCTTAAGTGGAACAATCTATATTAATAATGCACATAAACACAGAATTGCTGAATATTTTGATTTATGTTCTTGGCTCCAAAATTACTGCATTGGAAGGGCTTTTAATGTCTATGAATATCCCTTCATTCTGAGGGGTTAAGAAATAGTATGCCTAAGATGGGTCTCTCTCTGCAGCCAAGAAAATGTAGTTTAATTTTCTAGTATTATACTTTACAAAAGAACAACTGTAGAAACTCAGGAGTATCTTGCTTTGTGTAATAATGTATCTCTGAAAAGCCAGATTTCATATAACTCAGCCATGACATTTGAAATACATCTTAAATATACTGTGGGAAGGCTAAAAACAACATGTAAAAGTCCTTTTGCAATCTGTGGAAATCACTTATAATTTCTTTATCTCATGGGCTTTGATTTTTAAAATTATAAATACTATATGCAAAGCATCGTGTTCTATTCAAGGGCAAGGTGCTTCATATAGCTAGAGTTATTTTATATGATTGAAGTCTACATTTCCAAGTTCTAATATTTTTATATCATGTTAAGTCCTCTGTATTTACTGTTCTGAAAAAATGCAATCTCTGGAGGCAACCTCCATGGTTTTAAAATCCAGAATCTATAACTTAGTAATTCTGACCTCTTTTTTGAAATGAGTATAGTACTTCAAAGATTTATTGTGCATAGTAAATAAGACAATGCATGGAAGTACTTAGCACAATACCTGGTCTAATATATATTAATTACTCCCGTGTGCCACACAGTTTCAAGTGAAAAATACAGATTGTAGAAAGTCATTATCCCATTGGTATTTAACAATATGCATACAATATATTTTTTATATTCTTTTAATTTTTAAAGTGATTATAGCAATAAAAGCCAATGGTACATAAAAAAGTCAAGTAAACTGGTAGAGAAGGTTTAAATTAAAAATAAAGTTTATGCTACAATATTGATGAGCCTTGAAAACATTTTGTTAGTTAAAAGAGGCCAGTTCCAAAGGACCACATGTTGCATAATTCCATTTTTATGAAATATCTTGAATATATAACTCCTGAATAAACAAAGTGGATGAGAGGCTACCTATGGTTGGGAGGGAGATGATGGCTAAAGGAGGTGGGATTTCTTTTTGAGGTAATGAAAATGTTCTAAAATTGATTGTGGTTATGGATGCGCAATTGTGTGAATAGCCCAGAAGTCATTGATCTATACACTATAAAAGGGCAACTTGTATGCCTTGTGAATTATATCTGAAGCTGTTGTTTCAAAAAAGTAAAGTCTGCTACTCCATACTATACTCCTACTCTCAGGTCTACTGTTCATAGTATCCACTTTTAGTTCTTTAGGGGATTCTTGACTTACCTACTTTGGACTGTGTCTGTTGACCCTCTATAAGAATTCTTCCTCATATATCTACCATCATTCCTGCATCCTCCTTTTCCTGATTTTTTTAGTGTTTTTATTTATTTATTTCATATCTGAGTTTCTTCCCTGCCCCTTCTCTCTCTCTGTGCATATACCACACATACAAGAAAATCTATGTGTACTTCCATATATAAATAGTATTTATCTCTGAGATAATATATGTGAATAATTAATTTTCCCCTTTTGTTTCTCTGTATTTACTAATTTTCAATAACTATTAGATGTTAATTATGTAATTGGATATAACTAAATCAACTATTATGGATATTGATGAAAATATTTAAAAGATTATTTTAAATACTTGGCCTTCCTCATTAGGCAGAATTCTCAGTCTATTTCCCCTCTCCTTAATAATATTGATTATGCAATTTGTACCTCCAGGTCAAGCTTCCTCATAACCTCTATACAACTTCCAGAGTGATTTTTCCAATACACAAATATGATTGTGTCAATCCTATGCTTAAAAGCATTGAGTTCCTCTTCATCACCCATTAGAAACACATTCTTGCTTATGACACAGAAGGCTTTTCATAGTCCAACCCAACCCACTGTTTTCAGAGTTAATTCTTAATGTTAGACCCTGTGCTAGAGTTACAATGAAAAATGAGAAATGGAGCTTATAACCTTGGAAGTTCACTGATTGTGAACTGGTCCTGCTGCTTAGTAGCTAACATGGTCTGGTTAGTACATAGAACAGGAATCACCATGGCATTTCAGAATCCTGTGTTATTATGTCCAATGAACAAATAAAGACTTGTTATCTGTTATCTGTTTTAGTTAAAATAAGGAAGCCAAGAATTGCCCTGGGAAGAGGAGATGGGTATCAGGAAAATGAGCTTTGAAAAATAGTAGAAGGAAAAGGGGACTCTGCTGATAATAATGCCACTCCTATGTATGCAGGTGAAGTGATGAATAATTATAATCTATGTTGTATAGAGTTTTGGAGTCCACAGGAGCTTTTATGCAAAAATACCATCTCTTACCTATCTATTTTATTTAGCCCTCGAAACAACTCTGAGATCTTATTGATATTCTCAGTTAACAGATGAAGAATGAGACTCAAAGAGATTAAGTTACTGACTCTAGATTACACAGCAAATTAAGTCAGACTTCACTCTCCAGATCCTGTCATCATCATGGATAAAATATGAGAGATTACTGTCTGATCTAAGGGCAAAGAAGTGGGGAGATGTAGTTCTTCAGTTTCTGGAACTGAAGGCTACCACAAAGGAACCTCTTGGAACTATTGTGCTCCTTATTGTGACAAAAATCACAGCAACAGATCATTCTTCTGTTTACCTTGTGCCTAGCACTCTGCTAAATGATTTACATATATTACTGAATTTAATCCTCAGCCACTCTGAATAGCTACTTTCTTTTTCACCATTGTCTAGATGAGGAAAGCAAGGCTTAGATAAGTGGCTTAGGTCAAAGTCACACAACGAGTAAGTAAATGGCACAGCTGGGACTTGAACCCATGACAGAGTCCATTATCTTCTGTTGAGCTCCACAGTCCAGTACGTGCCTTTACTAAAAGAATGGTTAGGAGTTTTGTTTTGTTTTTGTTTTTGTTTTTTCCTTTTTAAAATCTAGGCTAGCTGTTTCTAGAATTTTGGATGTCACACATCAGCTTTTTACAGTGTCCCTTTTCTCTTTGGCTCAAAGACATCCTGATTAAGTGGATGGGTGGGTATGATGACAACTTTTTCCTGCTGTGATTTTCCTCATCTTTTCAAACTTATTTTCTTAATGCTCTAATATTTCCAAGCCATCGCAATAGTTTGTAATCAGCTTATTATTTAGCTTTAGTATAAAATACAAGAAAATGAGAATTTTATAGTAAAAGGAGCAGAAGGAACACCAAAATCAGAATCTGAAAATCTGATTTCCAGTCCCAGTTCTGCCTTTTGTAGCTGTGTGTCCTTGGTCAAACCTTTCTAACTTTGTTGAGATGACTATTTTGTTTTCACTTTAAATTGTCAATAACAGTTGCCCTTGTGCTTCCCCTTATAGGACACATAGAAACTTCAAAACTGATTTAGTGTAGTGAGGAATTCATTAAAAATAAAATAACCCAAAACACCTGTATCTTGAATTCTCCCACTTTTAAATCAACTTCTAAGAAAACTCTCAGAGTACTGTGTGAGAATATTTTTAAAAATTTCATTGATTTATCTCTGAACATTTGAGCCCAACTCATCTCTTTTTTGATTTGTAGGTTTTGGTTTTCGAATAGAAGATAGTTTTTCTTTAAATAGCAGAAAGTGTAGCAATCTCTTTATGTAAAAGGAGATATTTAAGACATACTCAGAGGGAAATGAACACATTTTCCCTGTCTTTCAGTTCATGAATTATAATTATGACAGTTAAGTAGGTGTAAATTCTTTAGTTGTTATCAGAGCCCTGATTGCTGATTTCCCCACCAATGCATATTTTAGGAAGCCAGGAATATTTTCTCTCCTCAGTCCTCCCTTCAGTTCTTTATTTTATGGTTCTAAACAGTATGCTTGTTTCTTGCAGTGGCATCTTATAGCTGGAATCACTTTGACCTTGGCCAGAGCAAACATTAATGAAATGGAACTGGACAGAGCCAGCACAACATTCACAACATTCATTCTTCCCCGTCAGTGCTTTTGTCTCTCCGTTCTTTTCCCCTGACTCTTGGACTCTCTTCCACTTCTCATGGGCTAGGAGAAGTCCTTTACATGTTTGGCTGGAAATTTGGATTTGGTGGTCATTGGTGTGAATATAGTAGCTGTGAGTGATAATATTGTCATCCAAGGAGAGAGAATAAATGTGAAAGAGAAGAATGCCATCAATAGGATAAAGCTCTCCATGAAAGTCCTCATTTCTCATGTCAACTTTAATGTATTGCTCAAATAATTTTCTCGTTGGTATTTGAAAAGTTTTCATTAGATAAATACATAAATGCACACCTAAATAAAGCTGACATTTACCATAAAATTAAAAGACTCAAGATCTTTGAAAAGAATGAGTGGATATACACACCTGATCTCTGGGTGAGAGGTCTTTCTAAACATGTTACCCAAAGCAGAAAACATTCTATTAGTAGAAGATCTATCTATCTTCTGTTTTTTTTTTTTTCTCTTTCTCTATCTTCTAGGAATCTTTTTCCTTAATGTAGAAAAAATAATTATATCTATTCTATCTATAGACAAAAAAATAAGAAAAAGACTTAGTAATACATATAACATAGAATCAAAATTTTTAATGTCTAAATAGCCCTATATTATTAAGAAAATGGTAAATAATGCAATAAATGGCTAATGAGTATTATTGTTCAAAAGGGAAATCTTTTTTTAAAAGAGGGAAATGTATTTTGTTTTTGTAATTAAAGTATGCTTAATTAGTAACTAAAATGATGACATGGGGAAAAACAGATAAGGATAAGGAGAGATTGCAGAGTGTTTATTGGAGTTCAGATTAATGGAGCTGATGGTACAATTAGATTAAACTGTTGACATCCATTCTCCATGGTATCAATTATTCCTCAAGTTAGTGATATTATATTAGAAAATCCCCAGGCAAACAGATCAAAGAGTAATTGGAGCTAGAGCAATGTACCATATAATTTTTCCACCTTAAGAGAAGGTCTGGGGATGAATTTGCAAGAAGTCTGGGACATAGATTATAATATGCTATCACAAAGGAATGGTCTTGGGTTGTCATGAAACTTAAGAAACTTCTAGGGAGCTATAGTCCTCTTGATTCTTGGGCTAATGAAGATGGTGTTAATGCTAATGGTGAATGTTTCATGACTTCATATTGCCTTATGTTTTGTACTGAGTAGTCAGGGTGCTTGGAGGAAACTTGTGGAGTTGGCAATTGGAATTCTCCTGAAATGGTGGCTCTTGTAAACTAGCTGGATTTTTAGTAATGGTGTCAGCCTGCTGCTTGGATTCCTTTTCCATTGTGTTTCTTTGCTTTTTTGCTGCCAACACGAAGAGTCGAGTCCTCCCAAAGGAGTTATAAAAGATATAATAGAAAGTTAGCCGAACATATGAGAAAATGTTAATGCAAACTGGTAGTCAAAGAAATGCAGTTTTAAATAATAGTTGCTCACCAAATTGTCGATTTTTTAAAAAATGTTAAGACTCATTATTATCAAATCCTGTGTGAAATGGAGAGATCGGTAGGATCCCATTCATGTGTAAAGGCTTGTAAGTGACACAGGAGTTGAGGTTTTATTGCAAGAGCTATAGGAAGCCATTGAATGATTTTTAAGCTGGGAGATGACATGATGTGACTATCACACTTTGGCTGCTGTGAGGAGAATGGATTATAGTAGGAGCAGGAAGAACACTTAGGAGTCTATGGACAGATGGGAGATGGCAATAATGGCAGTAATTTGGAGAAAAGTGGACCACATGAAGATATATTTTGGAGGCAAAATGAATAGCTTTTTCTAACAGACTGTGTTGGTAGTGTCATGATCAGAGAAATAGCTAAACAAGTGAAAATTTCAAAATAAGTAATTACATATATAAGTCTAGAGTTCAGGGATAAAGTCTACACTGAACATAATATCCAGAAAATGGTGCAAAACATTGACTTACTTCTCCCACTGAGTCACCTATTGCTCTATATAGAGTCTTTCTCAGATGAACATCCAAGGGTCAATTTTTATTTTCCTCATTGTCCCTGCCCAGGTCTTTTTCTGTTACTCTTTTCCCCCAAGGCCCCAGATCTACCCTGGAGAGCCTGAGTCACACCCTTCAGAATTCATGTATCACTGGTCCTTGGGATGCTTTTTGGTAAAATGTTTATAAGACAGGCAAACCTTTCTTTCAGCAAAACTGGTATATTATTGTGTTCATAGTTGGCAAGAGGTAGAAAGGAAAGAAAGGCCAAAGAGAGCAGGAAAAGACCTTCCCAAATGTTATGCTCATAACAAGGAGAATATGGGGAAATCAGCAAACTCAGGCCCTGCTGGAGGGAGTGAGTATACATTCTTACAACCTTTCTGGAAGACTATTTGGTATAAAGATCAAAAGTTATAAAGATGTGCTTAGCTTTTAATCCATAAATTTAATTTCTCCTTTTTTTCACATGGAAATCATCATGGATGCATGAAAATATTTAGTTACAAGAATGATAATGGTAGCATTCCTTAATTAATAATTAAAAATATTACACCTAATATTTTTACATTACATCTAATAATCTCATATATACACTATATCTAATCGAACAATAGGAGATATTTTATGGATTACTGAAACAATGAAATACTCCCTGGTCATAAACAGGGCAATGTTAACATTACAGAAAAATGTATCATTGAGAAAAAAAATTACAAAAATGGTGTATATATTGTAATTACATAACAACAATAAAAAGGTTAGAAGATTTTATACCAAAATATTAGTGCTATTGGTATTAATAGTGACCTACCTTCCTTCCTTCCTTCCTATTTTCTACAATGTACATATATAAGCTTTAAAATAATCTTAAGGAAAAAAAAGAAAATTGCTGCTATTGAACAATATATTGCAAATTGACAAAATTGGGGGCTCTGTCACAGATGTTAGTATGAATATAGCAACTGTGATGAATAGCAAATAGGGACTTAACAATGCAGAGAGAGAAGTAGATATTCATAGTTAGCAAATAATTGTTTTAGTAGACATTCATAGTTAGCAAAGAATTGTTACCTAATGTCCTCTCTGAAAATATTTGTTGATATATTTAGACCTCAAATAATTGAAAATGGACATCTGGACTAAGCCAAAGTCACACTTACAGTCAAATGTGACTGTTCTCTTGTGCAGCATGAATGAAGAGTAACATCCAGAAGGGGATATCTTGGATGTTAAACCAAGCATATGATGGTGCTTGCCCTCCTTAGTGCAAGAGAATTTAGAAATTAGTAGTCCAGAATTCTCATCTATTTCTCTTCCTTAATAATATTGATTATGCAATTGTACCTCCAGGTCAACTCTCAATAACCCTATACAATCAGTGATTTTCCAACACAAATATGATGTGTCAATCCTATGCTTAAAGCTTGAGTTCCTCTTTCATCACCTCATTAAGAAACATATTCTTGCTTATGACACAAGAAGGCGTTCATATCAACCCAACCCAACTGTTTTAAGTAATTCTAAATGTTAGACCCTGTGCTAGAGTTACAATGAAAAATGAAAATGAGCTTAACTTGGAAGTTCACTGATGTGAACTGGTCCTGCTGCCTTAGTAGCTAACATGGTCTGGTTAGGTACATAGAAACAGGATCACCCATGGCATTTCCAGAATCCTGTGTTATTATGTCCAATGAACAAAAAAGACTTGTTATCTGTTTATCTGTTTTAGTTAAAATAAGGAAGCCAAGAAGTGCCCTGGGAAGAGGGGAGACTAGGTATCCAGAAAAGAGCTTTGAAAATAGTAGAAGGAAAGAAGACTCGCTGATAATAATGCCACTCCTATGTATGCAGTGAATGAATGATAATTATTAACTATGTTGTATAGTTTGGATCCACAGGAGCTTTTATGCAAAAATACCATCCTCTTACCTAATCCTATTTATTTACTCGAAACAACTCTGAGATCTATTGATATTCTCAGTAACAGCTGAAGAATGAGACTCAAAGAGATTAAGTTATTGAAACTTCTAGATTACACAGCAAATAGTCAGACTTCATCTCCAGATCCTGTTCATCATTCATGGAGTAAAATAAATCGAGAGATACTGTCTGATAAGGGCAAAGAAGTGGGAGATGTAGTTTTCAGTTCTGGAACTGAAGGCTACCACAAAGGAACTTTGGAACTATTGTGTTCTTTATTGTGACAAAAATCACAGCAAACAACGATCATTCTCGTTTACCTTGTGCCTACATCTGCTAAATGATTACATATATTACTGAATTTTATCCATCACCCCTGAATAGCTACTCTTTTCTCATGTCTAGATGAGGGAAGACAGCTTGATAATGCTTAGGCAAATAACACAACGAGTAAGAAATTGGCACAGCTGGATTGAACATGACAGAGTCCATTATCGTTCTGTTTGAGCCCACAGTCCATACGTGCCTTTACAAAAGAATGGTAGGAGTTTTGTTTTTTTTTGTTTTTGTTTTTTTCCTCTTTGAAAACTAGGCTAGCTGTTTCTAGATTTTGGATGTCACACATCAGCTTTTATTACAGTGTCCTTTTCTCCTTTGCTCAAAGCATCTGATTAATGGATGGTGGTATGATGACAACTTTTTCGCTGTGATTTTCCTCATCTTTTCAACTTATTTCTAATGCTCTAATATTTCAAGCCATCGCAATAGTTGTAATCAGCTTAATTATTTAGCTTATATAAAATACAAAAAAATGAGAATTATAGTAAAAGGAGCAGAAGGAACACCAAAATCAGAATCCTGTAAATCTGATTCCAGTCCAATCTCCTTTGTAGCTGTGTGTCCTTGGTCAACCTTTTAACTTTGTTGAAGATGACTATTTTGTTTTCACTTTAAATGTCATAACAGTTGCCCTTGTGCTTCCTTATAGGACACATAGAAACTTCAAAACTGATAGTGTGAGTGAGGAATTCATTAAAATAATAACCCAAAACACCTGTATCGCTTGAATTCTCCCACTTTTAAATCAAGTCTAAGCAAAACTCTCACGATAAGCTGTGTGAAATATTTTTAAAAGTTCATGATTTATCTCATGAAACATTTTGAGCCCAACTCATCTCTTTTGATTTGAGGTTTTGGTTTTCTATAGAAGATATTATTCTTAATACAAAAGTGTAGCAATCTCCTTTATGTAAAAGGAGATATTTAAGACATACTCAGAGGGAAATGAACACATTCCCTGTCTTCAGTTCATAATTATAATTATATGACAGTTAAGTAGTGTATTCTTTAGTTGTTATCAGAGCCCTGATATGCTGATTTCACCAATGCATATTAAGGAAGCCAGATTATTTCTCTCCCCTCAGTCCTCCCCTCAGTTTTATTTTATGGTTCTAAACATATGCGTGTTTCTGCATGGCA